TGCTGGCATATTAAATGAATTATCGGTTACATTATATTTTCAGCATCCACTTAATACATCTTTCTTGGAAATAGAGTTCTCAATTTAGGCGTCTGCGCACTTTTAAAAAGTGGTTTTCCCAAATAAAAGTTCTCAGCAGTAAATCTGAACGATAGGTCTACGAAAATGGACCAAATTCCTTTATTTACAATTACAATTACAATTTATCACTTATAGAGCGCTATTTACAATGACAGATCAACAGCGCTTATTTCAGACTTGATGTGAATTAAAACGAGAACTTAATTCCTTGAAGATCTTTTTTATATTGCACTTCACTTCAGCATCAACATCAAAAAGGCAGAAGAAATTATCAGCGAGTCTCTGTTAACGTAATTATTCACATTTTTATTTTGATTAAAAAAGAACTTGAAATTCAAGCAAGTAACCTTAAAAAAAGATAACACTGATTCATAAATTTAGATTTTTATACTTCTAACTATGCAGCTCTGATAAGTCAGATAAATTTAAAGCCGCTCATTCGCTCATTCACTGGCGATATCTGTTTAAATATATGGTGAAAGTAACCAGCTCATTAAAATTGAGGAAGGTTGTTTTCCTAACAAATTTAAAGCTCATTCGCTTATTCACTGGTGATATCTGTCTTATTATATGGTGAAAGTAAACAGCTCATTTAAATTTAGAACATTTGTTTTGCTAACACGGGTTGCAAAGCAACAATATTCAGTTCACACTTGGTATACATGGCATAATCACTTTGAAATAGGAAATATGAACTGTCTTCCTGATATTTGACTATAAGTGTTTCTAGCAGTAAAATAAAATAAACTAAAACCTGAAAGAAATTCTTTGGAGATAATTAGGGATTTAAAGTACTAAATATTCTCAAACTATATGGTTTATCTGATGATATTACATGACAGACGAACATTTTGAGAGGATTCATTAATATTTTTACCTTTAGGGTGAATAGGGCATTCCTAGACTATTTTTGATTAAAGATTTTCAAGGGTCTGTATTCCATGATCAGATACAGGGTGATATGGGGATCTGATCGAAAAATGAATTTTAATATCACCCAGAATCGGATGCATAAAAGCAGTGATTTTGGGGGCTTTCTTCATTGGAGAAGTCAAGTTCTAGCGGGGAAGTCAAAATGAAGTCAACTGTTAGTTTGGCTTTATTTGGCTTTGTGCTCGCTGTCGGTTTTTCAGTCGCAACAACTGAAAATGCGTTGACCAGAATGGCAGATGCATTTGAAGCAGAAAAACCTCGAGGGTAAGTTGCATGAAGAAAATAATTGTAAATCAAATCATGAAAAGAGCAACCAAATAGACTTTATAGAGGCAATACATCTACGGAGTTTCTCCTGTTTCTCCAGGAAAAAGAAAGGAATACTAGATGATCAGGAAATTCTACCAATGACGATTCATTCACCTAGCGTCGAAACTAAAAATTAGACTCATCTTTACTTCCCATCTTTCACCATTATGTCTTTCGAACACAACGTAACTTAATCATCTGGCATATTTGCAAGACTCACTTTTTAATGCTCTTTAAAAACCATGGAATAAAAAGTTAAGTTTATCTATGAATTATTTGCTTTCCATCATTCTTTTTGACGATTCTGAAAGGTTTCAATGGAAATAGTGAAAACAGCGAAACTCGATCCTCGGCCTCATTTGAACAATTAATTATTATGTCGCAGTGGCAATGGTTTTGTTTTGCATTTGTAATGTTTTTAGTGAAGAATACATGATAGATAATGATGGTGAGCTCGATGCGGATGACCTAGATGACGATGATGAGGCAATTCCTAAAAGGTACGTGGAGGAAGTGGTTAGACTTGATTCTTGTATAACGATCCTAAACCGTACGCCCCGTCTCGTGCATCTTCTCTGCGCAAGAGAAGTTAAAGAACCTCACGCCGTTCTCGTTAAGAGTAAGAAACATATCTCCCAGTATTGTGGTCTGACCTTGTTTATGTTTATACAGGTCTCCATTTTAAAATAACAAATAAATGAACAAGTAAAGACTGACCAGTTCGTTCACGATTAGCTTTTGGAATTCTTTTAGCGTAGGGGGGACTGAGATTTATAGAAGACTTTGTTGAAAATCAGGAAATAGAAAGTCAGAAAAAAAGCATTGGAAATGGTTTCATGATATTTGTCCTTTATGTTTCAGCGGATACGACATGAAAGCGAACGATGGAGAGTTCGACGAGGAAGACCTAGAGGACGCGGATATGACAATCCCTGCAATGTACGTCGAGAAAGAGGATGAGGATGAGGATCCGGCAATCCTTACAAGGCACGTTGAGTAAGCTCAAAATTATTCTGATTACTTAAGCACGACTTATAGTTTTGATATTTTCCGCAGTCAAATGTTCAGAGCGGGAAAAGTTTTAAATTTGTGAAATTTAATCAGCCAAGCAACACTCAGGCTCTCAAGATAACTGAAAATAATTCGCTGCCTTTGCTGTGACATCTGCAAATGGTTAGACGTTCCAGTCTTCTCGAATAAGGTGATAAGATGTTTCCTGCATCTTCTCTGTACTGGTTAGCAGGGAGACGTCAAAGGACCCACGCACTTCTCTCTGAGAGTGGGGATCGTAGCTCCCGGTGTTGTGTTCTGACCTTGTTTTAGATTATACAGGTCCCCATTTAG